ACTTTGGCAACGTCCAGTTGTCTTTTAGGAGGTCCCACTTTCCCAGACTTCCCAGTCAGGGTGGACAGTGCCAGGACCTCCTTTGTGAACACCAGAGCAGCCAGCTCCTGGCAAAAAAGGGTCATGATCGATTAAGCCGCAGGAAGGCCCTCTTTGAAACTGTCACTGTGCTGCCAGCCAAGGCGTGCTGTATATGAGAGAATCAATGGAACACATTAATATACAGTTGGAAGATCTCTCCCTACCTATTAGGAATTAATAGACGTTATTCACATATGAATACAATGTGCTTCATTATTTAAAACACTGCTAGTAGTCTGTACATCCCTCTATGGAGCGGTACCACCAGTAGTGTGGAGGTTCCCACTCTCTACTAATTCACATGACTGATGTGTGACACATGTAACCTAGTAAACCCCATCACTTTATTTCTGACACATTTTAACTTGAACAGCAGACGATGCTGGGGAAGACAAAAGGAACGTGGTGTCATTTTTCTATAGCCCTTACACTGTGCAATCAACATTTACTTCACAATGACAAGTTAAAGCAAAAAAGTTCAGCATTGTTTTCGTTTCTCAAAATCACAGACATTTTCTATACCTATTCAACAGGTGTGAACTGAGTTTTTTGTGCTGTCGCAATGACTTGTTATAACTATTAGTGATATTAGGATCTTAAAACATTTTCTGTAATACAAAACAGTACATGTGGCTGGTTACATTGACTTACCATATACTTCAGAATGAGATGTCCATCATCTTCCTCAAGTTGGATGCCGAGAGGATGGCAGCCCTTTAAGGGTTGAAAGCACTTGTCGCCTGTATAAAAGGATTTCAGTTGTTGAAATATCCCTCAAAACATCAATAATTACAAAAAATGTCTAGAATATATATAGGACCTATGGTGACCTTAAAAAATACACTGACTTCATTATACATTCTCTTAATGGAATAATTAATTACCTTAGTTCATGACCCTTCTACCTTTACTTATAGTTATTATCATAAAGCACAACCTGATAATTACTTTCACTGAACTCAGACTAGACTTACACAAAGTGAGCTGCTGTTGCTCTGTAATGACTCAGCGTCATTGTGTTGACTGAGCAGCAGCTTGCGTTACATTATGAGTGACGGTAACATTAACCCCTTGCTGTTTGAGAACATCTTCAACACCATTTACTAACGTGATTTCAGTTAGCTTTGTCTAATTCTACCATACTGAAAAGATTTGAAAACACACTTGCAACCAGTCAGGAATATACAGTTGGCAATCAGCATGGCCAGTCTAAAACTCATTAAATAGTCAATTAACATTTGCATGTTTGTGAAGTCCACACGCTACTAAAACAGTCTAAAAGCTACTCAAATTGAATTCACCTAGCATTCCACTTGAGAGCAATATCATGTTAGCTTAATGTTAACATACATATCACCTTCACATTATGTTACCACATAACTAGGCTAGCTCTTGTAACGTAAAGTAGCAACTAAGCTAACGTTAGCTGTTATGGCGTTAGCTAAAGTAGCAAACACACAATTGATAGTCAGCTAAATGATTTTTACTATCAAACACTGTTTTAAAGTGTATAGAAAACTCTGTTTTAGAACAAATACAACACACATATGGTTATAAATTGCTTACTTACCGAAAACTGAGACCTGTGGACAGACAGCAGTGGACGAACTGTATTGCATCATGCACCGGTTAATCGAAAAGTTGATTATTGCTGTGTACATTGATAAATAAATATTAAACAGCATGTAGTCAACTACTGATGCCAACGCACTCCCATCGGCCCAGATTAATTCATTAATGTATTAATTTCTTGCATACGGTATTGCCTTCACTTTTATTTTTGAAATATTATTGTTGTGCTCTGCGTCTGGTTTTAAAGGAAAAAAACAAAAAAGGGATTTGCAAAAACGAAATACGGCTCGTTATTTGACTTTGGTTCTGTGATTTTTCCGCTTTTGAATTCAGAACCAAAAACGGAAATACGACCGCCCATTTCCGTTTTCGGTTTGAAACGAAAAATGAGAATACCATGGTATTTCCATATTTTCGACTGAACGGTAAAACAGATGACTAAAACGTACACGGACCTTGGTCGACTTTGGTTCTTGGTTTTTCCGTTTTTGAATTCAGAACCAAAAACGGGAATACGACCGCCCATTTCCGTTTTCCCGTTCTTGGTTTGAAACGAAAAACGAGAATACCATGGTACTTCCGTATTTTGGTTTTTCCGAATTAACGGTAAAACAGATGACTAAAATGTACACGGACCAAATAGGTCTTTATTTAATTTCAACACGTTTTCAACCAGAAATCAACGTTGAAATCCGGGTCAGTGCTCACTGCGAAGGTTAAAGTAGAGGCATACCAAGCCCTGAGAACAGACTGTGATGCAATACTAAAGTTGTATCACTGGAGGGCGCTACCGCAATGCAGTATACAGGGTAGCATGCTGCAGTAGAGCATACACACACTACAAATTATTGTCTCTGTGTACATTAAAACGTGACCAGAATCTCTTCACATTGTTTTAAGGTGAAAATCAAGAGTTTGCAGACAATCAAGGTCAGTATCTGAGACCTCTCCTTTGCTTTCAAGTTTGCAGGGAACGATCCGCGTGGATGAAGCGCTTCATCTGGGATGAGGGAAATTGTGATAATGGGTGACGAATCTGTCACAGCAGATACAGTCACTTATACTGTACTATCTAAAGTCGTAATGACATAAGAAGCCAACAGTTGTCTTGTTATTCTGCATTTAACTGGGTCAAACCCTGCCACAGTTACACTGCGCAGTGCGCAGGCGCAGCTTGTAGGCTGCCTCTCAGTGCCATAGCAACCAGAGAGACGACGTCAACATGAACATGGTGAGTGTCTGTGTTGTGGCTTCATGTGTTTCGTTGCTATTTCGTGTTTTTTAGCGACATGTTATGTTATGTTCCGAACATGCAACGTCTTCCTTTCGGAGGGCTATATTAATTGACATTACGTGGGATATTGTTGTCGTTGTTAGCTAACATGGGCTAACTTTAATTAGCTGAATTGGATAGCTAACTTTAGTTAGCTGGCTAACGTCGACTCTGCCCTAAACGTGTGTGGATGTCTGTGTCTAGTTTGGCAGTTTTTCCTCCCGCTAAACCGAGTATTGGGAAGGCTAGGACGAGGACTAATAGTCACTCAGAATGAAGTGTCTTAGCCGCCAAACTCCCCCAAATGAAAATGGAAATAAAGACATTGTGCATATTAAAAACCTGTGTGTTTAATGTAGCACTGTTCTATCTTATCTACAGTACCCATCTGCTATTTTGTCATCACACTAGCGTCTAGCCTCTCCCTGTCTAATGTTATGTAATGCCTCCAGGCCAAAGCAACGACTGTGAAAGAAGCACTGGCCAAACTGGTGAGTGGCATACATGCAATATTTTTCAATATGATTATTTGTTTGTGTTCGTACGAGTGTTTAAAATTCATGACTGAAAGTAGTTGCATGATGGTAGCATAGGTGTTGTAATTGCATCTTTTCTTTTGATCTGTGTGTCTGTGCGTGTGTGTGTATGTGCGCACAGGAGGAAAAGTCAGGGGAGAAAGTGAGCGAGAGTAAAGCCATAAAACTGTATGGTCAGGTTCCTCCTATAGAGAGGATGGATGCCTCTCTCTCCACACTCACCAACTGCGAGTGAGTCCTGTAACGACACAAAAAATAATACACATGACATCTATCACACTTCTGTCCATCCTGGGAGAGGGATCCCTCCTCTGTTGCTCTCCCTAAGGTCTCTTCCTCTTTTCTCCCCGTTAAAGGGTTTTTTGGGGGAGTTTTTCCTGTTCCGATGTGAGGGTCCCGGGACAGAGGACGTCGTATGTGTACATATTGTAAAGCCCTCTGAGGCAAATTTGTGATTTTGGGCCATACAAAAATAAATTGAATTGAATTGAATTGAATAGGTTGATACTGTCTGGTAAAGCTACACATTTACACTGATTCAGGCTGAGCAAAATCTACAGTAGGAATCTTTTAACATGCAATAGGAGGTACAGTATGGTAGTAGGCTAGCTGTTACAGATGACTATTTCAGCTGGTGTTTGAAACGATTTGGTCAATTTCAAAAGTATAAACTGGGCGTTGCTCGTGTCTGTCAGCTCTCTTCCTGAGTACAATTTGGCTTTACTTTTGTGAGAGTCTAAGGAAATACAGCTTTAATCTGTGAAAATGGATGGCTGGTTCCAAAGTTACTAAAAAGATCCTTCGATGTCGGCTCTTCCTAACATTGTGAAGCAGAATTCTCCAAGCGTTGGATTGTTCACCGACTAATAAGGAACGTGAGCTGGGATTAGACCGTCGTGAGACAGGTTTTTAGTCTCTGCATTTTAGTAACTTACATATGCTTATTTTCATTACCAATCAATGTGCCAGTCATTTAGAATAAACTGATTGATTCAGCTTTAATTTGATAAAAGTTCCTGTTTATATGCACCAGTGGAGCAGTACCTTGGAGCTACTTTTTGTCTTAAAATTAAATTATCGAACAAAGGAGTTCAGGTTGGTAGATAGAGGTAGATAGGTCGCTGTGCAGTTCACCCTTAGACTGCACTTCCATGACGTTTTCTTACTCTTAGTAAATTCCTCAGAAAATACCCCTTTATTGCAAAGATGGTTTTTTTGTTCCAATCATAGGCTGTATACATGAACACGACTACTTTATCGACATTCACACTCACGAAACGTCACTGTTTTCGTCAGAAATTCACACAATCAGCAGCAGTGTAACTGACAGAATACATCCAAACATCAGAGTCCAGGAAACAACCAACACATTTCCATTATTGTCTAATACTTTAGTAGATGAATTATGTTGATGTTTCCAAAAAAAACAACTAAAAAAACAATTAAACTGCAGATAACACAAAACAACTCACAGACTTCTTCCGGCATCAACAGGATATTCATGTTATGCTTTGTTCTCATTTATTGGGAAGATGGTCCTCGGATATTTTGTCACAATAAGAAGTGGGTCTTGAGTTACAAAAACACCCTCATCGAAATACCTGATCGTTTTTTGTACTGTATCCTCCACAGGAAGCTCTCTGTGTCCACAAACTGCATTGAAAAAATAACCAATCTCAATGGCCTGAGTGAGTCCTGACTGCATAAATACACACCACACAGACACACACTCTTCACTGATGCAAATGTGGGGTTGTAATGTGTTGTCGTGTTGTGTTCTTCCAGAGAACTTGAAGATATTGTCATTAGGAAGGAATAATATTAAGTCCTTCAATGGGCTGGTAAGTTACATACTGTATGCAACAGAATTAGCAGTGTTTTATAGGTTCCCTCTTTTCTTAAAGGGGATCCAGATATGCTACACGCATACTTTTGAGTGTACATTATTTTGCATGGGTTGTTTCTGTGTATATGTGTGTGTGCGCAGGAGGCAGTGGCGAACACATTAGAAGAGTTGTGGATCTCCTATAACTTGATCGAGAAACTGAAAGGAATTCAATTCATGAAGAAACTCCGAGTCCTCTACATGTCCAACAACCTGGTGAAAGAATGGGGTGAGCTACGTTCATCAACACAATCAACACATATTGAGATAGACAGAGCTAATGAGATAGTGAAAGTATTATGTCATGTTTATTCCTGGTTTCATGTAACATTTACGAGGCTTTTAAGTGACCTGTTTAGAAAAAAATCCTCCTCTTGCCTAACATCATTTTGTTTTATTGAAGAGGATAACTATATTAGCAGTGTTTTTTAAAAGCAGCCTTTTATTCCTTCCACTGCATGTCTTGGTGGGGCGAACGTTTAAAATACAATAAAGCTTTCCAACTTTTTAGCAATGGTCTCTTTAGTAATTTATATTTTAAAGGTATTGTGCTGATGGTTTGTTGGTGTAGGAATCCCTTGTGATCACTTTCATTTATTATATGCTGTCATGTCTGTGTTGTGTAGGAGAGTTTGTGAGGCTGGCCGACCTGCCATCCCTCGCAGACCTGGTGTTTGTTGGAAACCCTCTGGAGGAGAAGCATTCAGCCGAGGGAACCTGGATGGATGAAGCCTCTAAAAGACTACCTAAGCTATGGAAACTAGATGGTAAGAATGTTTCAGCAGCGACGTGTGTTAGAACCACTACCTACATTCCATGCCGCTTCTGCAATTATCATCCAGTTATCCACGGTATAGTCTTAATTGATAAAAAAAACTGAACCATTAACTATCTATTAACATGTGATTCCAGGGTTGAAGAAATATTGTGATGACACTTTACCAGTCCATAAATTCTGAATAATTAATAATAATGAATTACAATTCGTTGCCAACATAACCATGGCAGTATTTTTAGTGAGTCAGCTTAGGTAATGTTAAATGAATATTTACTTTGGTTTTAAATAGAGTATTCATTTAAAGAAAATGTCCAATTTCCCCCATTATGGACTCATAAATGTTACAAAAAGGGCTTGACGGTCTATGGAGTGAAAAGGAGAAACCATGAAATAAAAACAATAATTACCCTTTACATGGTCAGCTACAAGACACATAATAGCGATACGTTGTTTCTTTGAAGTTATGATTGGAGATCTCTTTTCCTGTGGTTTCCAGGAACCCCAGTCATCAAACAGGAGGAGGATGAAGCAGATGGAGAGAACTGAGGAGCATGACTCTCTGCAAAACTGCAACCTCCTTTTCTGGAGTCTTCCCTTTTTTTAAAGTTTTGTATGGTTTGTCATGGTGCTTTTCTTTTTATAAAATGATTTTTACAACAGCGTACACTTTGTTAGAGATAGACAAGCACAAGATGACCAATTATGTTTTATAGAATGAGAAAAGTCTGTTAAAAAAAGATCAATACTTAAATTGGCAATCTCGCAGATTTACATTTGAATAAATGTCTTTTACCTATCACTGAGCGGTAACACAGTGGTGATTGAGCCTATGGCCCACTGATTGCAATATATATATATATATATATATATATATATATATATATATATATATAT